CCCCCCCCCCCCCCCCCGCAGACAAGCGAGGTTCAAGATAACACCAAATGAGAGAGACACAAAACCTCAAAAGAAAAAAAAAGAGGTTCACGTGAACACCAAAACCAGGGATACACTACTAACCTCGGGTGCTTGCAGAGCGCGTCGGCTAGGCGCTGTAGCGCCGGCTCGGGGTCAGCCATTTCGAACTGTCCGTCTTCGGTGCGATTCTTGATCGCCACGGCCAACACTCCCAGCGTCTTGAGGGACTTGGGGAACCTTTGCCACGTAAAAGGAGGCGATACGGGGGGGCACGCGGTGGACACGTGTTTGTTGGTCCGACGAACGGCGTTCTTGTTTGGAGGTGTGGTTTGGCTTCAGGAGGAGAAGGAGAGGCAGCAGCAGCAACCGCTACCGTCATCATCATCAGCACACCCCCACCAATGGCCGGTCAACGCCATGCTGCTGTAACCGTGGACAATCAAGGAGACACCGACATAATACACAGCACCAACAGCAACAAGAATTGAAAAATAACTATTTAGAAAACGGCGGCAACAGCAACACAACCACCACCACCACCACCACCACCACCAACAACAACAACAACAACAACGAGAGCGGCAACAGAAGCACCACTACTACAACAACAACCACCACCAACAACAACTCACTTATGAAGGCAGCCGGCAAGTCGTTCCACGTCGTCCGTGTCGAGCGCGAGGTCGAGAAACAGCTCCTCTAGCACCGGGCAGTGCGCTGGGCCGAGCGCCGAAGCGAGAGCGTCGAGGTCGTCCCACAGGTCCAGCCTCTGCAGCCACAGGACTCGAAGCTTCGCGCACGGGGTCTTCCGGAACGCCTTTGTTCATGGTTGTTTGTGACACCAAGAAAAAGAAAAAGACAAGTTCATGATTGTCACACGAACAAAAAGATAACGGGGACCCGTGACACCACAGGAGAGACAGGGGGCGGGGGAGGCGGGGGGCTATGCGATTGTATGCGCAGGAAAATGCTTAAAAAAAACAGGCTACGGAGGTGAAACCGATCATCTCGTTCAACGCCCCGTGCGTTCTTAGCCAACCACATCTACTGCTGTGCACACGACCAAAAAAAAAGGAGTTTGCTGCCCACATGTACACAACCAACAAAAAGAGAGTTTGCTGTTGCTAGGAAGCAAAGAACACGAAACTGCTGTTTCAACAACAGAATAAAAAAAAAAGTACTTCAAAACAAAAAAAAAACTCACCGCAAACAGGTCGCGGCCGGGGCCCCTCCCCGGGCTCCTGACGTACGAAGTGGTCCCGTCGCCTAGGGTAACCTTTTCCAGCTGCGGCAGCAGGCCGCTAGAGCTTAGCCCGCGAATGAGCGACCTTTGCTCCGCTATGCTCATGCTCCCTAGCTCGAGGTGTAGCTCCCTTAGCCTGGTGTGCGGGAGGGAGGGAGGGAGGGAGGGAGGGAAGGCGGAGGCTTGGTTTTCATGGTGTCAACGGGGGCGAGGATGGTCTGGAAAACTTTGTGCCGTATGCATGCCGTGAGCCGTGTTCCGGTCATCAGGTGTTGAAGGGGTTTTTGATCATGCGCACCATGTCTCGGCTGCATGCATTTGCCATACTTGGCTCATGTCCATTCTCCCTCTGTCTATCTGTCTGTCTGTCTCTGCCCCTATGCCTCTGGTCCGTTTCTCTGTCTCTTATGTCTCTCAAACTCTCTCTTATGTCTGTCGGTCTGCCTGTCTCCCTCTTCTCCTCCCCCCCTCAC